GGAATTTTGTGGGAATTTCTGGGAGAATTTTGTGGAATTTTTGTGGGAATTTTGTGGGACTTTTGTGGGAATTTTGTGGGACTTTTGTGGGAATTTTGTGGGACTTTTGTGGGAATTTTGTGAGAATTTCATGGGAATTTTGTGGTAATTTTGTTGGAAATCTGTGGAAATTCTGTGGGAATTTCATGGGAATTTTGTGGGAATTTAATGGGAATTTCTGTGGGAATTTTGTTGCAATTTTGTGGGATTTTTGTGGGAAATTTGTGGGATTTTTGTGGGAATTTTGTGGGACTTTTGTGGGAATTTCTGTGGGAATTTTTTTGAATTTCATGGGAATTTCTGTGGGAATTTTGTGGGAAATTTGTGGTAAATTTGTGGGAATTTTATGGGAATTTTATGGGAATTTTGTGGGAACTTTGTGGGAATTTCTGTGGGAATTTCTATGGGAATTTTGTGGGATTTTGGTGGGAATTTCTGTGGGAATTTTGTGGGATTTTTGTGGGAATTTCTATGGGAGTTTTATGGGAATTTCTGTGGGAATTTTTTGGAATTTCTGTGAGAATTTTGTGGGAATTTTTTAGGAATTTTGTGGGAATTTTCTGGAAGTTTTGTGGGAATTTCATGGGAATTTCTGTGAGAATTTTGTGGGAATTTTCTGGGAATTTTATGGGATTTTTTTTTTAATTTCTGTGGGAAATTTTATGGGAATTTTGTTGGAATTTCATGGGAATTTCTGTGAGAATTTTGTGGAATTTCTGTGGGAATTTTATGGGAATTTTGTGGGAATTTTGTTGGAATTTTGTGGGATTTTTTTTTGAATTTTGAGGGAATTTTGTGGGACTTTTGTGGGAGCTTGTGTGGGAATTTTGTGGGAATTTCTGTGGGAATTTTTGTGAGAATTTTGTGGGAATTTCATGGGAATTTCTGTGAGAATTTTGTGGGAAGTTTTGGGGAATTTTTGGGGAATTTTGTGGGATTTTTGTGGGAATTTTTGTGGGAATTTTTTGGAATTTTATGGGAATTTTTGTGGGAATTTTATTGGAATTTCTGACGGAAATTTTGTTGGAATTTTTGTGGGAATTTTGTGGGAATTTTGTTGGAATTTTGTGGGAATTCCCGTGAGAATTTTATGGGAATTCTGTGGGAATTTTTTCTTTATTTCGGGGGGAAATTTTGTGGGAATTTTGTGCTAATTTTTGTGGGAATTCAG